GCGTGTGAGCAGGGGCAGGAGCCTGGCAGGGCCCCCCGAGGGCAGCGGAGGGGCAGGTGCTGGTGCCAGGGTCTCCAGGAGAGGCCACAGAGCCCCGTGTCCCGCAGCTGCTGCTCGGGCGTGCTCCTCCCGGAGGCTGAAGGTAAGCCCGGTGTCCTGTGTGCCTGTGCAGCCCCCCGGCCTGACCCTGAGCTGGCCCTTTTGTCCCCGGAAGAGGATGACGGGGTGCTGGAATGCCTGGAGGAGTTTTTTGCAGAGGAGCAAGTGGTCGTGCAGAAAAAAAAGAAATCCAAGAAGCTGAAAGATGGCAAAGCTGCGAAAGTCAAGAGGAGGAAGAAGGAGGTGAGGCTGCAGGCTCCTTCAGGCACCCCTGGAGTGTCTGTGGGTGAAAGAGGGGTTGTTACTGGGGTGTTCCCTCACAGAGCAGGTGCTCTCCTGGCCCTGGGAGGTCACAGAGCCAGGGCAAGAGCAGTTCTTGTCCAGCCTGGAGGCTCTGGGGTGGGAATCTGCCCTGTGGATGTCTCTGGAGCATGGCTGGGGGATTGTGCAGCTGCCTGGCCCCAGAGAGGGGTTCGGCTGGGGTGTGTGTGTTGGTGTGTGATGGCACCATCCGTCCCTGTGCCTTCCTGGGCAGAAGAGAGCAGGCTGAACAGCGAGTGCATGTTTTTTTTTATGAATGCCTTGTGTGGGCAGTGTTAACCAGCCTCTGTTCCGCCTGCGGGAGACTGTTCCCTTGTCTGTTGGCGCCAGGGAGAAACTGGTGCTGGTGCTGTTGGGGGGCACCGAGCAGCACCCAGGCTGCCCCGGGGTGAGGAGGGAAAAAACGCTGTGGGGGGGACTCGAATAGGACTTCTTTTTCCAAAACTCCTCCTGCAGGGTTTTGAAAGTGAACTGACCCCTGGTGAGGGGAGAGGTGGGATTGAGGTAGAAGGTGGTGACGTGGGGCCACGACTGAGCGAACCCCTGCAGTCCCCGGGGTTTGTCACAGTGGGGCCCGAGTGCTGCTGTGCTGGGGCGGGAACTGCCCGCACC